TTGAGATTTCATTGTAAAATGGAAAATAAAGCAATATGGAGAGATGGTGTGAGAGACTCATCATAGTTATCAGTATATTTTTGGAAAATCGTAGACCAGAATGGGCAAATGAGGCCTCATTCCCATCAGATGTGCAGGTACTTTCCTTTCTCTCTGTAACAGCGCCAGCAGATGTCTGAAGATGAAGGGAAAATACGGTTGATAGAAACCAGATCACAATACCATTTGGAGAGTAGTTTAAAGTTCTTTTCTTGTACTGTATGTAATTAAAAATTGAGGATTTATGAGTGAAAATAAATGCCTTCTGCCAGTCTCCAGAGGAAATCTCAAACCCCAGATCCCTAGACCAGATTTTAGTATAAATTGGAGGTGTACTAATACTGTGGGTCAGAATTAATTTATATACTTTAGTTCATGTGTGATGGGGTATCTCTGATAGAAGGCAAATATACTCAAAGTCCAACAAAGGTCTATGTATTTTATGGTATGAGTATAGAGACTTACAGGAGGTCGATAGTTGTAATTTTGTCAACAAGTTCAAAGAGACAGCGTGGTAAGTGGACTCACAAAAGAGCCTGAAGAGGGGTTGTCATGTACCTGACTGGAGGCTGCAATAGAGAGAGGGCTCCCCTTATGGCTAAGGGCAGTGCACCGCTGGAAGTGGAAACAGGAGGTGCAGTGCCCGAAGAAGCCAGTGGTGTTGCTGCTTGAAGATGCTTGATGAGATGGACCCCGTGGGTGCTCCGGTTGCAGGAGGAATTTCTCCAGAGAGCACGTGGATCCCGGAGGATAAGTAGAGTAGTAAGTAGCCAGAGCCAGGGTTAATATGGAACAACAGACAGGAGCAACGTCAGGATCAAGCCAGGGTCATACACTGAGCAGAGGACAGGAGCAAGGTCAGGATCAACCGGGGTCATACACAGAGCAGCAGACAGGAGCAAGGTCAGGAGCAAGTCTGGGTCATACACAGAGCAGCAGACAGGAACAAGGTCAGGATCAAGTGGGTCAGTAATGGGTGATCAGCACTAAACTCAGGAACACAGGAATGGGAGGGGCTGAAGATAATCCAGCAATCACTGAGCAGAGCTGCAGTCCTTATAAAGGCCACTGAGTGTCAGCAATTAGTGCACCCTGCGTGTGCCGGTGCGTTTTCGTGCACAGAAATGCGCGATTACATGCCGCCTGCCTATGCGCATGCGCACTTCCTTGCGCGAATTGACTTGGCCATATTGAGCATTGGCGCATCTGCCCGGACTTCCTCGTCTTTTCCCCTGACAGGGGTACACAAAAGACAGCGTTCACCATTTGGTGCCTTTTTTTTTTTTGCCACCGTGGGACCTGAACTTGGTTCTTTTGGTCCACCAGTAGCCTCTTTTGAGAGTATTCAGCCTATTCCCCTGCTTATGCTAGTTCAAGAAGTTGGATTTTGGTTGACTTCTCTTCCACGTGGTGAGCGTCGGAGCTGACGACCTTATCCTGTCATTTTTTTCCTCATTGGTCTTACACTGGGATAAGGGGGTTCTCTGTCCATATCCCTCCTCCCCTGCAAAAGTGATGGCGGCTTTCCCTCAGGTTGGCGACATTGCCCGGCCTAACCTGTATCCACGACCTATGTACCCTGAGGTTGTGCTGCACTCATGAACTCTGGGCTGTTTGGTATACCTGTCTGCTTTGGCTTCCTTCCAAAGGCAGAATTCCCTTTTTTGGAGACCATGGACAGCCCTGGAAAACCCTGGTGGCCTTCTCTGCCATTATGATCTGCCAGCTGATTGTTAGGTTTTCTACCATTTGTGGTTCAGGCTCTGCCCTCCCTTGTCACGGTGCATCCCTCCAGAATGATTGGTGACTCTTGGGTGTTCTGACATCAGGCGTCTGTGTCTTGGGTTTGCAGGGCATCTACCTGGTCCTCAGTGCACACTTTTATTAGGTTTCTACGTTCACATTTTTCAATGCTAGTTTTGGATACAAGGGTTTGCAGGCCATTTTACGGTGAGTAACAAAAAATCCTGTTTTTTTTCCTTTTATATCCAGCACCACTCAACAGACCTACCAAGACATTTGGATTATGAAACTGGCTGCACAAAATTCAAATACTTTTGGATAAAGTATTTCCCGTGTAGATGTGCATAGTTAGCTGCTTGTCTATGATTAAGCAATGATATTTTTAATTTACTTACCCAGAAGTAGTATACAATTAGAGAAGCTTCGAATAAGTGAAGAGCCAGCAACTTTTTTTCCTGATAAAAGTACTTTATACTTTAAAGTATAAATATAAATATTTATACTTTATACTTTTTACTTTAAAGGGTACAGTGTGCAAGTTAGAGCAGCTTACAGTAGACGTTTTGGTAATAAAAACCTTATTTATAGCCCTGGCCCTTTCTTTACTGAAATGCGTAAGCTGCTGTAACTTGCACAAAAAAGTACTTTTATTGGGAGAACGAGTTGCCGACTCTTCACCTTATACTCTCATTCAGTGTTAAAGCAGTTGGATCACCACAACAGTCAGACACCTGTTCACAAGAATGATTCAGCAACTGCAGCCATGATATTTTTTTCAGCGAAGATTTTCTTTAAACAATGTACATCTGAAGCTGATGTTTCTTTTTCCTTATAGATCCTTGGTGGATTGCTGTTATGTTTTGGTCTGTGGATTTTATTTGACAGGAACAGCTTTGCTTCTTTCATAGGTGAGTGAGCTAATTTTTTTTTATATATTGCTTACATGACATTTTTTTTTAATTTACATCTACTAGAGGTTAGAAAAAATATTTGACAGACCTAAGCAATATGGAACAAATTGTCCCTCAAATTGTGCAACATATTAGACACAGCCAAGTAAATGTCAGCTTTATATGCATTTGGCTGATTTATTACCTCTTGTTAAATACATTCTCTCTCTTATTAATCCTATCCTAGGGTATCAGCTATAGTAAAACATTATCATCTGATAACAAACATTTATTTCAAATCATTGCACACCTTCAACTTATTTTTGTTTAGCTAGGCATTAGGTCCCTTTCAGATGGGCCTAAGCAGTTGACAGGTCAAGCGGATGACAGGTTTCCACCTGTCTGTTTCCACCTGACTGTCATCAGATCCGATCAGTTCCGCTGGATGGATGGGGAACGGATTCCCATCCATCTGTTTTTGGAGTACAGGATCGGATGTTGGCAGGTCCACAGAGGTCTATGGATGGTCCGATCAGGTCAGCCTGAAAAACTGACAGGCATCAGTGGGAAAGGGGCCTTCGTGTAGTCGTTTGTTTGTTTTCATTACCTTGTAATGATGAACTCGCATATTGTGGCTGCAGTTTGTAGTGTCATACCTTTAATGCGAGAAACCATGAAGGCCCCTCCTCCCCCCGACCCACTGGCCTCGAGACCCTTCCCCCTGAGCCTGAAGGCCTTGAACATGGGGCCCTTTACTCCCGTCATAGGGCCCTTTCACATGTTCTGCAGTGGGCCCACTCCTGCCATCTTGGGGCCCCAAGCAGGGACTGGAACAGCAGGGCCTGTTCGCAAGTACGACCTCTGCAACCCTGGTAGTTCTGCCACTGGGTGAAATGCTCTGCAGTGTTTCATGGGCTAGGTGGAATGCTCTGCAGTGTGTCAGGGGATGGGTGAAATGCTCTGCAGTGTATCATGGGATGGGTGGAATGCTCTGAAACATAATGGGAAGGGTGGAATGATCTGCAGTGTCATGGGTCTTGTGGAATGCCCTACAGTATCATGGGATGGGTGTAATGCTTTGCAGGGGTTGGTTGCTATTGCGACCCATGCAGCTATGCCACTTTCATGGCTGATCAATCCCCTTGTGTCCATGAATTGCGTCAACTAGCTCTTAGTTTACCTATTTTATTATTTTACTTTGGATTCTTCCATCAACACTTCAATGCATTCTAATGCAACAAAGCAGTGGGGGCAGCTTGTAATGTAGCTTCAGGCACTGGATCCTTCTTTGAATCTCACTGCGACATCTTTGCCCTACACATGCTATACAGGTTCAGGGCCATGGTCCACCACTATGGAACCCAAACCCTCTTTTTTTTGGGGTATGCTCACCGTAATAGGCAAAGACTGGACCCTATATAGGAATCAATGACATGAACAAGTAAGACAGGGTCACCTTGTTTATTGGACTATAAAACATAGCCCCACAGCACGTACAAGAATTAACACATACTTTACACTGTTTATATGTATCTTGAATAGTATACATTTTATTTTAAGTATAGGTTTACATATGGACATGTACATTTGGATTGCATTCGTTTGAATGGGCTGCTGTACCCATGAGACATGCAGGGAAAGAAGTCCCAGGCCATTTTTTATAAGTGCTCTGCACAGAATTGCATGGTGAATGCGGCACCATGCCGTTTGAGGCAGGTGAAAAATGTGCATGGGTGCTGAAGCGTGGGGGTGCCTTTAACAATTTACCGGTCTCTGCATCCCATTCTAGCTTTGCTCAGGCATGCAACAAGTGGCCTACTTTAATAAGGCAGACTATTTTACCATACAAACATTGAAGCTTGAACTGTGATCCTCTTTTATGTGTGTGAGTAGTAACGTATTTTACAATAAAGATCCTTAAGATAATGCACTAGGTTGTTCCGCCCTCTTTCTTCCCCTTCTTGCTGTAGTGACTATGGGACATCCCCAATCCTTGAGGGCAGGAAGACCATGTGTGATTACTTGCTTATACACTGAACCAAGACTTATGCGCAAGAGAATTTTTGTTTTGTATTGTCGGTCAGGTTTCTGCATTGTGGACTCCAGCAGAAAAATAGATTGGTCAGTGTACGGATTATACTAGAGTGTGAAGATGGTGATATCAATTAACCAACTCCCGCCCGCCATATAGTAATATGACGGACGCAAGGTGGTTCTCTTGTTCTGGGAGGACATCATATGACGTCCTCCCATTCTAACTAGCGTGCAGAGCGGCAATCGGCGGTGCGCTGTTTCCCCTCGTACACAGCGGACCACCGATCCACGGAAAGAGCCAAAGATGTCGGCTCGGTCATGTGATCAACTGTGTCCAATCACATCACAGCTGATCACATGTAAACAGGGAAATGCCGGATATCTGCATTTCTCTCCCCACGAGCTGTCACGCTGACAGCTCATGAGGAGAGGAGAGCTGGTAATCAGCATTCCTCGGAGGGGACATGTACACAGATCATCAGAGCACTGATAATCAGTGTGCCCTGATGATCTGTGTAACCCAGAAGCGCCACCTGTCAGTGTCCATCAGTGCCAGCTCTCAGTGCTCATCCATGCCACCTGCCAGTGCCCATCAGTGCCACATTTCAGTGCCCATCAGTGCCACATCAATGCCACATATCAGTGCCCACCTAAGCTGCCTTTCAGTGTCACCCATCAGTGCCAGTCAGTGCCACCTATCAATGCCAGTCAGTGCCACCTATCAGTGCAAGTCAGTGCCGCCTATCAGTGCCCATCAGTGCTGCCTATCAGTGCCACCTAACAGTGCCAGTCAGTGCCACCTAACAGTGCCAGTCAGTGCTGCCTATCAGTGCCAGTCAGTGCCACCTATCAGTGCCATATATGAGTTCTGCCTTTCAGTGCCTATCAGTAATGCCTGTCAATGCCCATCAGTGCCACCTATCAGTGCCCATCACTGCAGCCTCATTAGCGCACATCAGTGAAGGAGCAAAATCACTTCTTTACAAAATTTTAAAACAAAAACTAAGAAAAAACTTTTTTTTTTTACATTTTCAGTGGTTTTTGGTTTGTTTAAGAAAAAATAAAAAACCCAGAGGTGATTAAATAGCACCAAAATAAAGCTCTATCTGTCCCAAAAAAATGATAAAAATTTCATATGGGTACAGTGTTGCCTGACTCTGCAATTATAATTCAAATTGCAACAGCACTGAAAGCTGAAAATTGGCCTGGGCAGGAAGGGGGTATAAGTGCCCTGTAGGCTAGTGGTTAAAGAAATTCAATTAAGGTGATTCTCATTGGCTATAGAATTTACCAGCAGCATAGAAGCTTTTGAACAACAGATGGTCACTAACAAGGACCAAAGTCCAGGGGCTAACCATTTAACAGCACCTAAAGCTCAAGCAAGGGAGGACAAAATGGTGTCATTGTTTTATAGACTAAAGGACTTATTAGAAAAAGAGATGACCATCCCTAGGAGATCTTCCTGCATGCCGTCGGGGAGGAAAAAAGCCAGAGGGACAGCACAAAAATCCCTCACAACCTACAGTATCTGCTCAGGACACAGGAGCTCTGCAGCATGGCACAAGATGGAGCCGTAGGAGCATCCTCATCCCAGCTTGCACAGGACACAGCCATTCATTTGCCTGCACAGAACAGTGAGTACACACAGCAGCTTACAAAGGGGAACTTGGAGGCCAGTTTGGAATCTATGTATACTAAATTGGCTGCTAAATTTCAGTCGGAGTTGCATAAAAGTACAAACGTCCTTTCTCAAGAAATTGCCACGCTGGGAACTAGAACAGATCGCTTAGAAGCAAAGCATGATGAACTCAGTTTAGCCTATGGTGAGCTATCCAGGGATCATGATATTCTACAGACCGCCGTTACGTAGTTACAAGCACAGGTACGATTCGATAAATGTAACTGCAGAAATAACCTCTGCATCCATGGGGTCCCTGAAACAGTGACGGATCTCTCCCAGGCTATTACTAAGTTGTTCAAGTCCCTTCTTCCGGACAAAGACCCCAAGGCCTTTACGTGCAACTGGGTACATAGAGCTCTGCGTCCTAAGCCCCCTGGCGATAAACCCCTCGGGACATTATTCTGTGCATGAAAGACTTCCTGATTAAAGAAGACATCCTTAGAGCAGCCCGCAATACCCCTGTGATAACCTTGTATGACTCAAATCTACAAATTTTCCCAGATGTCTCCCAAGCTACGCTGGAGAAACGCCGGAAAATGCGGGAGATCACGTCGATCCTTTCATTGGCTCGTATTCGGTATAAATGGGGATTCCCCTTTAACCTCCCTGGCGGTATGATTATTTCAGATTTTTGGTGCTGAAAGCGGTACCATTTTTTTGCATGGAAATATGTATTTTTTTAATTGTAGGCCTGTAATATTTAGGAATAACTCACTGAAATCTGTACGAACAAGAGTCTAGTAAACGTCCCGGGTATGATAAAAATTTGAAACACAAAATCATAAATTATAATTTAATAAATAATCATAAAAATAATATAAAAAAATAATAAAAAATGTAATTCAATAATATAATCAAACCAAAAACACTGAAATTTGAAATATAGCGCCAAGTTCGCACATCGCTGAGCTCAGTCGCAAAATCGTTTTCAGTGTCTGATGACGAATTTCCCCACGAATCATTATCACTCAATTCTGCAAGTGGTTCTGATTTACTATCGCTGTTCTCTAGCTGATCTAAACCGCTTTTGACCTAAAGGGACACTTTTTGGATGCCATGGACGTTTCTCAGTTTCCAGGCAGCAAGAACAGACAAAATGCAGGCAGGGCGCCGGACAAAGCACTCGGGACAAAATGTATGTGAAATTGGTTGAGACAGCAATGTTTTACTATGTAAAATGTAAAAAAAAAAAAATGACATTTTTTAAAATTTTTAAATTTCCCGCCGCTGGCGGCGCCCGTACGTCCCGACGTCACAGGGACAGGACACAGAAGCCGGATGCCGGCATCGGCCGGAGGAGATGGCCGGGGACGCTGCAGGGGACACATCGTGGGAGCGCAGGGTAAGGTAAGTGAAGAACACATGCCGGAGTAGTGCCGCATGGTATTCCCGAGTGTAGCTCGGGGTTACCGCTTTTGGTACAGAAATGTTACCCCGAGCTACACTCGGGAATACCGCTAAGGAGGTTAAGCTGATCATTCTGCACCATGGCAGTACATATACAGCTACAACTACTCTTGAAGGACACAACATCCTGGTGAGCTTGGGCCTCCCACACCTCAATGTCCACCCTCTACCCCCCGATGGGAATCTGGAACACTCCTACTCCAAGGCGGGATCGGCGGAGAGTCAGACAGGAAGCGGGTTGATGGGTGCACTGGTCCTCTCTTATTCTCTGTCATTTTGATCAAGGACTGGGTCATGCTATTAATGCCTAATTATATGCCGTATCTGTTGATTTTGGGTTAAGTCCCTTGATATCTTGACATGCAAAAAAAATTTTTTACAGGTCATTAGACCCTCATTTTGAGGCCTGCAGGCTGTTCCCACATGGCAGTTGATGTGCTACCCCACCCTGTCACTGGATATGGGCAGAGATGTCACTGCCCTGTTGTGGAGTGGCCGCTCTGTTCTCCGTGTCTCGCGGTGGTGGGGTCTGGGCCCGGTTGGCCCTTTAACTTTCTTGTTCTCTGTCTTTTTGGGTGAGGCATCTCACCTACCTGATCCATGGTTTGGTTTAATCTTTTTAACTATGGGGGCTGTTGTGGCCCTGTTTCTGTGGTTTTGTTTTTTGTTTCCTTAATTTGGTACATGATGGTAGTTTTGTACAACTCTGTGGATCTCCTTACCATGGATATGTGGTGTGGACATTGCATAAAATATCTAAGTCAACCATTATCTTCCGGGTTGTAACACCGGATACTCAACCTTTTAGGTCAACTCTTTCTTTCTGTTCCAGATTTTTTTAATATGATAGCCTTGATAGATGCTGCTTTTTCTATATTTAAATATGGTGATTCCTTGTATTTCACATAATGTCCAGGGTTTCAATTCTTTGAATAAGTGCAAAACAGTATAGGCGTTTGGGGGCAAAGATTATACTACTACAAGAGACCCATTTTGCTGCAACTAAACACCCTACTTTTTTCCACAGGTCATATAGGCAGGTGTTTTATACTCTACATCCCACCAAGAGCAGAGGTTTGGCGATTTTCCTACATAATTAATTTCCCTTCGAGGTTCAGCAGGTCTATCGTGATCCTGAGAGCAGGTTTCTTATTATTAAGGGCACCCTTTTTTGGCCGTGAACTAACTAGCCAATGTGTACGCACCAAATTCAGCTCAAGCGACCTTTTCTTCCTGCATTTTTGATGTCCTTGATAGGTTCTTGTCCCCCCATTTATTGGTGGGCAGTGACTTTAATCTAGTGGCTAACCCGTTACTGTATAGAAGTTCCTCCTCTCCCTCTTCCCCTGCCTTCCCTAAATCCCTCACTAAAAGATTACAATCATTCCAGTTGGTCGACTCTTGGAGGGCACACAATGTGGGGGCTAGGGACTATACGTTTTACTCCCATCCGCATGACTCGTATGCTAGGCTGAACTATGTATACTATATATAAAAATGCAGCGCTTGAAAAAAGTGATAATAAAAACACAGTCCAGTGGAAAAAGGTGCTCCGTATATCCTAGTGCAAGTGGTAAGGATTTACACTAACCAGATAGCGTAAAAATATACGCATGTGTATATATATCCTGTAGAGTCCCCTTCTCCCCTCAGATCTGGTCAAGTGAGTAGCCGGAAAAGGTAGATATCCTACGCCCTCTTATGGTAAAAGAGTGGTCCAGCAGATCAAAACGATATCAATCAGAATAAGCCTTCCCCCTTCACAGGAGTTGATAAGGAAATCCCTTGGGCTGTAAAAGTTGAGGAAGCTCCTCACAGGGGACACAGGGAAACACTCATAGTGTAGTAGGTAAGGCTTTATTATGAAAACATAAGTGCACAGTAAACATAGGGTATAGGCAGGTATGGATGAACACACTGACCCCTTGGTATTAAAGATGGCCGCCGGGCCTCCTCGTGGCACCGGCGGCTTAGTGTCAACGGCGTCCTAGGTCCCACTGACGCGTTTCGTGTGCACGCACTTCTTCAGAGGTGGAACAAGGACCGCCGTGACCGTCTCCCTCTAACGTATATACCGTGTCTGGCGCATGCGCACTATGCGGCGCCATCTTGCCGAAGTCCGGGCGTCCGCAATCGACAAGTGCGCATGCGCGGGTGCCATTTTACCATGGGCCAAAATGGATGCAGGTATCTAGACAACGGCTCCCTACTAGTGGAGTCCGGGCATCCGTATTGCGCCACCGCGCATGCGCGGGCACCATTTTGTCATATGCCAAAAGGCAGAATACCCAGCGCTGGCAGAGACAATATTGATAGTATCGGACGTCATATACGCTGTGATAAAACTGCATGTTGGATGGTAATGTGTGGGAAACCCCCTCAGGGGACATCCAATGTGGAATAGAAAAGAAGAATTTAAACAAATTCCCAAGGAATGTGAATTAGCAGGGACAAGGGCTCATAAGGTTAATAATAAATGAACAAGTGTCCTAAATAAGGGGCCAATAGGTGCATAAGCCCCGTAAAATACTCTAGTAATTAAAATATGAATATTTAACCAGAAGGGGTATCACACCCTGTACATAGGTAATAATCCCATATGGAGGGACAAAGCAACATGGTAAATTGGCATTATAAAACATATAAAATACCTGTCACATGGAGGTAAATGAACCAAAAAATATATATATAAAATACATGCTTATGTTCAGCAACACAATAAAAAAACAGATGTCATAGGCATGTGTCATAAAATACAAAAACAAAAAACAGAGGGTGGATATGATCCAGTACTAATAAACATCCTCAATGGGTGTGTGAATAGTGGGGTTACACTTAATGTATGATAACCATACACATGTGGTTAAAAAGGAATTTAAAATAAAAAATAAAATATATACAGTAACTCCCCGTTGACCCAAAAATAGAGTCAACGTGGTTTCTTGTGTCAATAACATATGATAAGCCCTAGTGGGTTCAGCTGTTATCAATAT